CGTAGCTACAGAAACACCTAAAGCATTAAGATTTTAATATTTTATCTTATTATCTTAGTTTGTTCTTCTAAGACAACTGTCAGTCTTTTCATCGTAGACGCAACTTAAACTGTGGTCATTTTATTAAGTACTGTAAATATCCAACAAGTTAAAATTTTTCCTGTGGCTTATAGATGTACCCTGCTCTTCTTCTGTGGGAGATTGTTTTTGGGTTTTTTTAGATGAAAATAAAAACTGGCTGCATCCAACACCAGGAGTGATGAAACTGACATGCAGCTGAACTTATACAGAGAAGCTGGTAAGGATTTATATTTACAATCATAGTTTAAAAAAAAAAAAAAAAACCTGACATTTTCCAAAAATGTCTCAACCTTCCAGTTTAAAATAGTAGACTTGAAATTGTTTTGTTTTTGGCATTTGGTTTTCTAACCTTTTTGATTTTCAGACACTATGTTTAATTAAACTGTTTTGTGTAAAAAATAAGCATTTTTAGACCCTAAATCAAACTGAACCACTTTTCAACCCCACTTCAATCATTTTAACTGGGTTTTTAATATTTGATGAGAAAAAAACATGAATAATTCAGCTTTGCCGCTTAGTTCCATACAGATATTTGTTCTCTTCTGGCACAGGAAACCATAATATATCTCCATGCTTAATATTCACTCTCATTATTTTTATAGATCATTAAAGATTTCAGATGTGTTGAAGACAGTTTGTTCAAACAGGTTGTTTATTAATTTATTTGTTTTTTAATGTATTCAAAGTGAAAAGTAAAGCAGGTTTATAATGACAGGTACAGGTTGAATGACTCCTTTCACCTGTTATTGGTGGAGCTGCTTTCCTGCAGGCTTCTTACTGATAAAAACTCTTCCTCCTTGTTGACGTATATTTTGCTGTTTCTATCATCACGTTTTCCGTTCGAAATTCAGAAAATCAAATCCTGAGTAGTTTTTCAAAAGCAGTTTTCAAATGTTTTCACCCATTCAGGGAAAACGGCTTTTAAAAACATGTTGGCTAAATGTGATAAAATAAGTACCTCCTAAACATAATGGCTGTTTGTTTTCCTATACATGGTACATGGAGTGTTTGAGATAACTGCCAATGAGCCTTTAAAATCCCACTCAGTCGTTTTATTTCAGCCGCATCAAGTGATCTATCAGCGTGAATGGCGTATTTAAAGTCAAACCTCTGAATCTTCTGATTTAGTGTTTGGACTTTGACTAGGCCACTCCTAAACCTATAATAATTGGACTTCCTGCTGTGTTTTTGATGTCCCTGTAAATCACCAGATTGATCTTTACCTTAAGGCCACAAAGTAATGGTCAGATATCGTCATTTAGGATATTTTTCCCCAGTCTATTTTGTTTTAATTTATTGTTGAATCATCTGTGACCTTTTGCATGAGTTGTTCATCAGCTCTTGGAGTGATTTTGGTCTGCCAGTCACTTCTGTGAAGCTTCTCCACTGTCTAAATGTTCATTGGTGTATATTGGCTCTGGTTTGCTGGAGTCCAAACATATAGAACAGACTTTATAAGCATTTTAAGGGCTGATAGATTTCACTGACTGTTCCTCATCTGTTCTGGAATTTCTTTTATCCAATTTAATGTTGTGTGACTGGTTTAGTTAAAGGAATATCCCGATTAAACAGCTCAGGCTGTGACATGGTTCAATGGTACATTGCTCAGTAAATTTAATGAAACCCTAAAGTGTGCAGACTAGGCACTATGTTCTAAACTCTAAGCATGTGCACAGACCCAAATGTTAATAGAGCAGAAATTCTCTCTTCATGAAAATTTAAACTTCATATTCATGAACAGAATAACAATGTTTCTTGGATCATAACATTTTTTTCTCACTTTTATCATTAAAACAGTTTTTCTCTACTTATTTATTACAGTTGGCAGCATTTTTCTTTTTTTTAATAATCAGACAGTTTACAGAAAAGAAGAATCCTTCTGTAAAATAAAAGGCAGTTTGTTACACCACAGCATGTATAACAATACATGAATGATCCACATGTTTATTTCATTACATAATAATTCACCAATATGTTCAATAAGCTCATTAATCAAGGCGAAATGTTTCAGATCAGTTACTCACAAATGAATAACTTCTTCTGTAAGAGGAACATTAAAGAGGCAGCAATGTCAACAAAAACAGGCCACTGCTGCAGGCATTCAAATAGTGAAGCAGGCGTTTTATACAGTCAACATCTGGCTCAGAAAAAGTCTTTAACCCAAAATATAAAAATGTTTACCAGCTAAAAAATATTCATTTTAGGAATAATAGACATTTTTATGCTGCTGAGTGCAGCTGTTTAAAAATGAAAGTTTCTGTAATCAAAGCAGCATGTTTGGTCTATGATTTCTGAACTACAAAAAAATCAGGACTGATTTTAATACAGTTTAGTTATTCATCCAGACATATTACCTTAAAAAAATACTATTTTTTTCCACTATTTTTATTCAACTTGGGACGAATGGAGGTGATCAGGACCAAAAGTGTTTGTTTCTTCCTCCAGAGGCTTTTTAGTTTAAACTAACCATTTTTAAACCAAACTGTTATCCATTTTTAAACATTCTAATTTCTCTGCTTTAGTAATTAAACATGCAGATCCACATGCAAAGCTCCTTTCATTATAAAAGCGAGATCAGAACTAAATACATTATTGTAGCATTAGCCTAAAGCTAAAATCATGCCAAGCTGCAAAAGCAGGTTTAATGTTGTTTGATTAAATACTGAACCAAATGTTTTTGTTTGAATATCACCAAAATATTCATTTCTTTTTTATTATAAGGATTAAATTTGTATTTATTGACAAAAACGGAAATTAAAGTGAAAACTGATTTGCAATATTTCTTTGATTTTAGGCAAGTTAATAACCAGAAAGGGTGGGTTTAAAAGTTTGACTCAAGAAAAGCTTCATCTTTGTTTCTCAAAATTCAAGTTATGAAAACTCGTCTTTAAGTTGATAAATTTGGTGACATTTTCATCAAATAAAGGTCAAATCCAACCTCTATTAAAAACATTTAAACTTCTGGGTTTACCCAAAACACAACAGACAGCTTTAAAATAATCTACATGAGCTCCAACTGATATAAAAAAAAGTATTATTGGCTTTAGGAGCACTTCAAGAAAACAGCTAGAAAACAGGAGTTGGATAAGTCCAACACAGGCAAGGCTTAAAATGCAAAGCACCTCCAGAGGAGAAGCACGCAGGGCTGCATGTCACCAGACTCGCTCGCTAAAAATGAACGGTCTTACGGTGGAAAACATCATATTCAATAGAATAAATAGCTGTGCAGTTAAAACTGTAGCTTAAATGCTTAACCTATAGACCAGCTACAATATTTAACACAAATATACTAACAGGCCTACGAGCTAAACACATTAAATAATGTTACGGTAGCAAAGATGAACTTCTCACTCAGAAATCCTGAGTTGCCTTCAGAGTTAAAAACAAAACCAATAACGTCTAATTTCAGCCAAATGTTCAAATTTGTTTTCTCAACTAAAATCCAGATGTTAGGAGGAATGGCTCCTTTAAATATTTCATCTTTCATGTTCTCCAACAGTGGAGAATAAGAATCTGGATGATATTAAAAATGGATCTCAGATCTTAAATCATTTAGACCAAAAATAAAAATCAATAAAAAAGAAATTCTATGTTAGGTACTTAGTATTTTTTTCTAGGCAGCACTTAGTGCCTTGTTTAGAGGATCATATCGGTGTCCTGTGGGGAAAAAAAAAAAAGTTTGTAAAGTCTGTAGAGAAAGGAGGCCTCTCTCAATCATACATTCACCTCAGACCTGTCATTCTGACGCCGTGCATCTTGTGCAGATGCACCAAAAGGAAAGCTGTCAACACTGCTTTACGGCAGCATTCAGGTTATTCGCCTTTCCACCATCAGCCAGATGTTTTAGTAGATGGTGAGTTTTAAATCAAACTGGATTGTGGGTCGTATCTGCATCAATATGAGGAGCCATCCTGTTGACAGCTGCTGTTTATACGCAACATGTCAGTTACAAAGCAAAGACAGTAACAGATTTCATTTTTAAACTCCTTACTGATAACAGGATGATGTGGCAGAACGCGGATATGATTTAGCAAATCATAAAAAGATCAGATTTCTGACTTTAATCAGCTGAGCATCGGCTGATTCTATTCACCAGCGTCTCCACTCTAAAACGGATAAAAATGTGTGAAAGACCAGCTAGCCTCACTTTATGTGTTAATTAAAAATATTCCTGTAGTCGGTGCAGGTTTTTTTATATTGTTATAATTAATGAGAAGAACATTACTTTTAAATTAAAACTGAAATTGTTCAGCCTGACGGATACATTCATTTTAATCGTTTAGTTTTCTAAGTAATTATTATAAATATCTTAGTTAAGCAGGCCACAAGATGAGCAATCATGTTTCCACATTATATAAATAAAAAGGAATGTATAGAAGATTAAATCTATGTCGACCAGGAAACAGACATTTTGTTTAAAATGCTTAAATTCTTCAAAACCGTCAAGCTGCAGTTAAATTGGGAAATTCACAATGTTTTCTACTTTTACTTCATTAAATGGAACATAATTAAAACCTAAAAGGTTTCCTTTAAGACACGGTTTAAGCATTGATCTACTGCATTCATACAGCTGACAGTAAGAGACAAAGCTTGTGCATAATAATATATTAAATTAGAAATCGCTGCTGCTCTCTATTTACAGGCGTCACCAAAGCTGAGATTATCTTATTTTCCCGAGCAGAAACGATGGTGTTCCTGCTCCTGTCGGTCTCTCTCCTTCACAGGAACCTCACGGCGCCGTGTTCGATGTTCTGTGGAAGCAGTCAGTCCTCCAGCTCCGGTCCATCTGTTCAGTCATCCAGGCGATAACCAAGAAGTGGGAAGACATTTTCTTTCTTCTGGTCTTTTTTTTTTTACTTCCATATTTTCAGCTTTAGTTCATGATTGGAAAAGAAAAATTTTAAACGCTGTATCAGATGTAATTATTGGCCGTCTGATCCCAAACACACGCGCCTCACTCCTCTGTAATGGTAGGCAGGTGGGGGCTACTGGGAGAACTGGGTGTGCTCCGCAGGTCGGGTCGGACATTCACACTGGATATGGACCAAACGTCACTCAGCTCTGCAAACAGAAGAAATCAGACAGTTTAGGATATTTTAGACACTATAACACAGATAAATCAAGTAAACTTTCTGATTATAAATGTCGTCCTTTAGTAAATTTGAAAATCCAGATTATATATGACAGTTACACATTTATACACAAACAGGAAACACACTGATAGAAGAACAAGGAAACATGGGGTCATACAGTATTCCTGAATGGATTGCATGGCATGCAGGGAGTCATGGGTGGAAGACCAGGGGGAGGGAGATATGAGCTGCAGCGGGGGGGTCAGAGTGTAGAGGGTTCCAGCCAATACAGATGACCTCTGAGGAGTCTGACAGACAACACACAGACGCAGGTCACAAATCATCAGAGTGAAACATTTCTCTGCTGATCGTCACAACAGCCGCTTCCATAAGAGGAGGAAGCCTGACCTTATGTTGCCGTCACTGCTTGACGATTTAGCCAGCGTATCCTGACGCACGAAAAATTAGGCATAAACGCTGGGATATGTTGGATAAGTTATGGGTCAGTTTTATATAAGCAGGCTGAAAACATGCTGTCACACATCAACATATGGCAAGAAATTCAAGAAATTTTCCAACGTATGCCAGAGCATCCTCATACCTGGGCCATAAGTTACAGGTAAGTTATTTGATCGTTGACAAGCGTTAAATGCAAGTTACTCCTAAAGGGCTGGTTATCCTCCCGCAGCAGTGCGTCGCAGTGACCTTCTTGTAGATCATTTTGATTTATGCCCCATATTGAAGCGTGGTCTATTCTATGTTATTCGACACCACAACACAAGAGGGACAATCAGCAACTCGCTTTGGGTCTAGATACGGCCGAGGCGATGAGGAAGTGGGGGCAAGTGGATCCAGGTGGAAAAAGGGTGCCTATCGCGCACCTCGCTCATACAAATCAGTTTTTTGCCGGGCGGTAAACAGTAGCTAGTTTAACACCGCGGCTGTGAATCTTTTTCCTGCCCCCCTCAGGACACTGGCTTGTGACATTTCATGAGCATTACCCTGCTGTGGGTTATGCATAAGTTAGGCTGTAGTTGGACATGTGTTCAGGACTCATTATGAATACTGTATGTATACACCCAAAATATATAAAAAATAGACTGTTCAGCATCTGCCAGCGTTTTAGAAGATTCTAGGACATCAGGCATACGCTGGCTAAATCGTCAAGGTGGGACGGCTACATGAAAGGAGTAATCATCGGGAATATCAGATTTTTCCCTGTTAAAATTTTTTTTTTTACATTTTAAATTGTTTTAACAGGGAAATGGTTTATGACTCCTTTAGCTGAGCTGCTGGAGATGTGGGGCTGGTATGAAACTATATTTACACACAAAAAAACATTAAAACACCTGGTATTTCTACTACAGCTGGTAAACATTTAACACTGATAACTATAATTCCTCTAATCACTTTGTGCCATTCCTAAATGAAACATGTCAACAACTGTTATTTCAATGCAAAAAGAAAATGAAATTCAATATGCTTTATTAATCCCAAAGGCAAGTTAAATTTCCCTTTTACATACAGACAGCATGTAAATCACACCACATCCATGGTCAGTGTGAACGCACCTTTATTCTGGATGTGAAACAGCTGTGGCTGTTTTAGCAATAAGGTGCAAAATGTTTCTTCAATTTACACTTAGAAGCAGCATTTGGAGGGATTTTTTTTATCATGGCAGTTTTACAGAGTCTCTGAAGACCTTCTTTGCTATATTGACAAACATTTTTAGATATGTCTGTCCTTTTTTTTTTTTTTACACTTTACAAAAAGGTGAGTTTTACTGACATTTTGCACAATGTTGAATTTGCAGTCAACAGATCAGCTGATAAAAGGTTAACTCTATAAATAAACCACTTTAGTTTGGCTGTGGACCTAATCTAAATGGTTTTATTTGTTTATTTTAATGATGCCTTTAGGCGATCGTTTTGTTTACCTCACAATGAAAAACACGGAGCAGCTAAATCAGAGGAAAATAGAAACAGTTTCTCCTACCGGTCCTGAATTTGCTGTAAGGCCCGTTCTCATGAGTCTGACGGCTGCCGGACACGAAGGGCAGGCCTCTCTCTCTCCACCTGCGACACAAACATGAAGCAGAGAACCAGATCAGAGGCGCAGAGCGCCGCCAGGTGTGTTCCTGCCTTTTTCAAAGAGCTTTGAGGCTGCCAGGAGCGGCCCTGGGTCTGCTTTGATGCAGACACACGTCTGCCTGCATCTTCACATCTTCATTAGACAAACAGCAACTAAAAGTAAAAGCTAAAGATGATGAGGAAACATTTTTTTCATTTAAAATTTCCACACTACACAGTCCTTAACATTTATTTTAAATAAAATTCTTTACGAGTTTATGACAAACACAGCAGATGGACTTTATATTAAAGGAGTGAAGGACACCAAGGGGAGTGTGTGTTGGAGAGATGCTGAGTGTGCAGCTTCACAGCCCATTAATTATTTTAGTGTTGAAGTGGAGCTATGAAGGAAAGACACCGGGACAACTAGGACATTTGGACAAAGCTGGACGGATCAAAGTCTGGAAACAAAGATTTCTCCCCACATATTAATCCAGAGCTGAAAACTACTAAAATCATATCTGGTACTTTTTCAGACTGTGAAGGAATCCTGAGAATTAATCTGACTTTATCTGGACTTTGGTAAAGAGACAAAACTATCCTTCTCCTGACTCTACTGTTAACAATCTACAACATCAAATTTCTGAAAACTGAAAAGCGAGCGGTGCATTGAGCAGCTGAAAAACAACACCGATAATGATGATGATTAAAGTAAACTAATTCCCTGTCTTCCGGATGCTGTTCTGTTATCATTATCACACCAACAATAAAGCCTAATGAGCAAACAGGATGAGCGTTCAGCGCAGAGCTCCGTTCCACCGCACAGACAATTCATTAATGATGAGCTTTTGTCTTACCAGTGGAATGTAAAAACTGCAAAGATGAGGAAGGCAGACACAAAATCAGTAAGAATCCACATCAGAGTGTATTCCTCTGGAGTCTGGAGGGAGAGAGAAAGGACCAGCTTTTACCTGATGGACAGGGATAGACAGGAGCTAAACTCATCAGAACGGCACTCAGGCTCCCTGTGTAGGTGGCGACAGACAGAGGTTTGTCGTTTAGAGACAGGATTCTGTAACACCCACACTTGTTGAAGTGATCATTACTCCAGATACAGAGCGTTCTAGCCTCCCACTGGGAGTCTAGATGTTGAAAATGTAATTAAAACCAGAGGTGTTCTGAGTGGAACATTCAGAGCGCCGCATGATAAACGCAAAGAGACGTTCCTCTAAATGGGAAATATCACCGCAGGAGAATAATATCACCTAAAGCAGCACCTTTAATGTTATGCCTGCAAATATTACATAACCTTGTAATAAAACACTATTTATTTTTTGTTAAATATCTGCTATATTTCTAGCTTTAAAAACAAAATAAAACATGTCATAAAGGTGAAGAATGGATTTTCTTCTATATATTTGATGTTAAAAGTTAGTGAGAAGGAAAATCAATCTAAAAACATGTCTGATTCAAAAAGTATTTTTGTTGATAAAATTCAATCAAATATTTAAAAAAAACACTAAAGCTTCTAAGACTGGTATTTGTTGTTAGACTACATTAGTTTGTTCTTTATATAATTCTAATCCCTATTAGGAGCCATTTTAGATGTTTCAAGGAGCAACAGGGAGGGCGATCTGAAGCGGGCACATGGTATGGCGGGTAGCGAGGCATCTATTTTGGCCCCTCAGAATAAACAAACTACTCTACTACTCAGAGTAAACTAACTTCTATTTTATTTAGACTTTTTTGTACTTTAAAGCAAGTTGAAAAGTGAAGCGCTGCAAAACATGCCTATCCCTTTAATAATTCTACCTGAACGCAGATTATAAGACGTGATTCTGCTCACCATGAGGAAGAGGGGCTTGTTGATGCTGGACAGGATGTGGACGGAGTTTGTGGTCACGGACTGAGCTCCAGCACACCAGGCCAGAGTGTAGAGCCACGGCTGGCTGATCACATACAGGTTGGTGCTGATGTTCACAGACTGGTATTTACTGCAGAGAGATAGGGGGAGGGGTTTGGATGACAGCGGGGTGATGCTTCAGAACCAAGCTGGATGAAAGCAACGAGTCGCCTTTGTTACATGATGCTGGTCTTATTTAAAACAAGGATCAGAGACAAACACAGCTACAATCTACAACAGAGCCTCATCTCCTAAAGAACTTAATGAGCCAAGGTCCTCAGTCTGATTAAATCAGATGCCTAATTATCTTTATTATAGGCTCTCCTATAAAATGGGAAAAACAAGTAAAGATGATTTTAAAAGGAGGAGGATTTCAGCTGCTCATTAAAAGTCAAATTAAGTGGAGGTTGATCAAGACCCAACTTCATCTGGCCACTCTGCACTGTATAAAAGCTCTATTTATTTATTTATTTTTATTTTTTGCAGCACTAGTGGCTCATTATTGATAGGTAGGCTGACAGGACAGGGGTTAAGTGAGAGGGGGAGAGTCATGCAGCAAAGGACCAGATTCAAGGACTAAGTCCTCTGTTCCTGGGTCGTGCACGCTAAACACTGCGCCATGGAAACAGGCCCCCCTATAAAACCTTTTAAATGATTGTACTGAAAATACATACCTGGACGGTTAAAAAAAAACACCTTAGAGCCCATAGTAGAGCACGGTGGAGGAACTGTTTATTTTTTTCTGACAAAGTAGCCCAAGTACATCAGTGTTATTTATGTTAACATGTAATAAAAGCTGGATTTAGGAATAACATAACCTTTTTTTTTTTTTTTTTTTTTTTTTTTTAAAGAATCATTACCTTTTATCCAGCAATGTGTTTTTGCTTTGTGACATCATAGCTGAGAGGTTCAGCTGAAACATTTGTGTGAAAATGACTCAGGCCTAACTAAAGATTAAATCGTGTTTAAAGTTCTCACTTCAAATGAGTCACTCACACTTTTTATTTCCCTCCTTTCCAGATTGTTCCTCTCATATTGCTGCTAATGTAGGAGCCCTTCCTACTTGTTTCCTAGTTCCAGAACCATCTTGTCCTCTTCTCACTCAGGCTCAGATCTACCGCCTCCACAGTTTTCCCTCTTTGGACAAATCTGGAGTGCCTCTTGAACCTTTAACCTCCTCTCTTATTCTCCTCTTTCCCTCAGAGAACGGTATGGATTCACCATGGACACCTCTATCATCAGTTATATAACCAGCATTGGAGCCAGACAGGAACATTTAAAGATGTCTGAATTAAATGTCAGCTTTCTACCTGAACCTATAAATAGGGCCTTTTTGTTTTGTAAGGTAAATTGATGTGGAAGCTGCAGCTGTGTTACCATAATATAGCTGCATATGTATTTGGGATATTTTAGTGCGAGATGCCAACAAGTTTAAACTATTTTGCAAAGATAAATTAGTGTCTGAAGGCCTGTTGTTGCACTGGATTTTATTTAGCTGTTTCAGAGTAAACTTAAAACTTGTTTAAGGTTTAGTTCTACTTCCTTAAGTACTGCTATTCCATGACGCTCCTGGTTTCCACAGACTATAAATCAAATGAGTCCCTCTGAAGGATGAGTGAGGTTGGTACCAGATCTGCTGCTGTGACATGGTGCTGTAGTGCAGGTTCAGCCTCCTGATGTGATCGTCTGCTAGTTCCTGAATGGAGGCTTTTTCTCCAGAGGTCTGCTGCAGCTCTGGGTCCAGACCATAAACCAGCTCCCTGTCTTCTGAAGGCAGCCACAGCACCTACGTAACCACAAACAGACAAACTAACTCAATTCTTCATGCAAAGAGAAGGAATGGAACCCATCACTTGTCTTCGTCCTGTGAAGCGGCCGACCTGTGAGGAGTTGATGTGGGATTGGATGACCTGTAGAGTTGTGTTGATGTAGGACGTCCTATAAGGATGTCCATACGGTGGCCTGCGCAGGTCAAACAGAACCAGTTTCCCGCTTGCAGCAGCTACCTCCAGGAACTGGGCCAAGGAGGGAACAGACTGGTTTTGGGCCTGAGAGCGATCCGACTCCGACAGGAGCGATGCAGTACCAAATGGATCCCTCTATAAGAGAAGAACACGGTGAAACAAAAGCTGTGGTTTGTTCTGCTGCTCAGTATACATTTTTACAGGCATATTAAAGGTTGATTTTCTGTAACATCTGACCAGATTATTTCTACTCTGACAAAGATTCTAATGCAGAAAGAAAGAAGTGTGCTGCAGGCTGGTTGATGAGAAAGATGATTTAAATCCAGCAGAAAATAAAGGAAATTAAAGATAAACCTGATTTATGCTTCAAAAAATCTATTCATTATCTTTGTTTCATAAAAAAGAAAAACAAAGGGCATCTTGTTCTTTTTATTGCACTGAAATAGAGAGACTTCTTAGATTTGATGCATTTGATTATTAGGAAGTAAAAAAAATTTAATTTTCCTATATTTCAGCAGCTGAGAATCTATGGTGTTGGACACAGTTCATATTTGATAAATGTAATAAAATTAAATTACTGATTTAACTTTATTTAACAATAGAAAAGTTATGAGGAAGCAGAAGCTCACCAGCACGTATTTTTATCACTTGGGAAGAGAAGCAAGAAATACAACTGATTTTATTTAAATAATTTTCTGCTAATCCTTGACCTTTTCTTTTTTTTAAGTGTGGTATTCTAAATGTAACCTACATCAGAACCATTGGGCTCATCTTAATTTCTGATAAAATTTCACACAATTGGGAGCGGTATCTACAGTGAGGAAAATAGAAATCATGGAAGGGTCTGAAATTGTCATTGTAGGTGCGTTTCCACTGTGAGAGACATTATCTAAAAAAAAAAATTTAAAAAAATCCCAATGTAGGATTTTTTAAACTATTTGTATGATACAGCTGCAAATAAGTATTTGAACCTGAGAAAATCAATTTTAATATTTGGTACAGTAGCCTTTGTTTGCAATTCCAGAGGTCAAATGTTTCCTGTAGTTTTTCACCAGGTTTGCACACACTGCAGGAGGGATTTTGGCCCCCTTCTCCACACAGATCTTCTCTAGATCAGTCAGGTTTCTGGGCTGTCCCTAAGAAACATGGAGGTTGAACTCCCTCCAAAGATTCTCTATTGGGTTTAGGTCTGGAGACTGACTAGGCCACGCCAGAACCCAGATATGCTTTTTCCAGAGCCACTCCTTGGTTATCCTGGCTGTGTGCTTCGGATCACTGTCATGTTGGAAGACCCAGCATTGACCCATCTTCAATGCTCTAACTGAGGGGAGGAGGTTGTTCGCCTAAATCCTGCAATACATGGCCCGGGTCATCCTCTCCTTCATAGCTTCTTCCATTTCTAATGATTGCTCCAACAGTGGACCCTTAGCCCTTTCCAGACTTATGGAGGTGTACAAGTTTGTCTCTAGTGTCTTTAGACAGCTCTTTGGTCTTAGCCATGTTAGCAGTTGGGTTCTTAATGATTGTATGGGGTCGACAGGTGTCTTCATGCAGTTAACGACCTCAAACAGGTGCATCAAAGTTAGGATAATAACTGGAGTGGAGGTGGACATTTTAAAGACAGGCTAAAGGCTGATTTATACTTCGAGACTAGGTCATCTGCATAGGTGTCACGGTGTACACAGAGACGTCCCCGCCCACTACCGCAGACACTCTGCTGCACCTCTCCCAAATTATAGGTAACCGCAGACAGTGCTACAGACTGGAGGCCTCTGATTGGTTAAATCTACATCTGCTCTACACTAGGTGTATTTCCTGTTTGGTGCCTTACTGGCTCGTTTTGTTTGTATGATCGCGATTAAGGGAAAATGACTCGTGAAGTTGGACCAGCTAGAAGAGCGATGTGCGCGAGAATGCTGGGACCCTTTTTCCACCTGGAACCCCGCTCTTTTTCGCCCTCATGTCCCTCCGTTGTCGCACAAACTTGCCCCCATTTCTTTACAACCTCGGCCGTATCTAGACCTGCAGTTAGTTCGTGATTGTCCCTCTTGCGTTGTGGCGTGGAATAACATAGCACAGACTATTGGGTATAAATTGAAAAATGTCTGCATCATACCTGCGACATGCTCACTGCAACACACTGCTGCGGGAGTATAACCAGCCTTTAAAAGGTCTTTGAGGGTCAGAATTCTAGCTGATAGACAGGTGTTCAAATACTTATTAGCAGCTGTATCATACAACTAAATAGTTAAAAAAAAAATCATATATTGTGATTCCTGAATTTGTTTTTTAGATTATCCTTCTCACAGTGGACATCCACCTAAGATGACAATTTCAGACCCCTCCACAATTTCTAAGTGGGAGAACTTGCAAAATAGCAGGGTGTTCAAATACTTATTTTCCTCACTGTATATCTAAAAAACAGAGATTGAACTGATTATTGGACATTTACCGATAAGAACCAGCTGCCAGCGTTCAGCTGCTGCAGCTCGGCCCAGGTGAACATGGAAGCGTCCAGTTGAGTCCGATTGGGGAAAACCTCAGCGACATTAGTGGTCCTCCTCAGGGTGGAATCGTGCATCAGGAAGGGAATGCCGTCATAGCTATAAACAACAGAAATATTTAGTGAGGAAAAAACAAACACGGATGAAAGTCAGAGGAGAACATGGAAAGTCACCATGAAGCCGTTTATGTTGATTAAATCTCAAGCCATTAAATTAAATCTGGCTCTCACCAAGCCATCAATCTATACGAGCCAACATACATGGTGCTTCGAAATTTATCGTGGAAGTTAAAACATTTAGCTGCATGCCCTTCAACACACATCTAATAAGATTGCTCACTGTGAGTTGATCACAATCATTCACAAACACCTCCGTCTCACACCCAGCTCCTTTGTTTATGAGCTTAAACCAACTCGCAGTCACGCCACTCGGCTAATCATGGTGTTTACAGGCTGTGAAAGCAGATCTGAGTGTTAACAGGAAAGCTTTGTGCTAACAGGATAAGCATGGCTGTAATCACCTTGGCACTGATGAGTGTGATCAATGAAAGAGCTGCAGTTCAACAGGGGTTCTGCTTTTGGCATTTAAAGCAATAACTAACAGATCACTCCTGGTTTTAGTAGCAATGTTTATTTTTGTGGTAAATGTAGTAAAAATATCATTGGGTTGCATCTTCCAGCTTCCTCCCACAGGCCACAATCATGACTGTTTGGTTATTTAGTCTGAATTGGTCTTTGGTATAAGTGTGTCTATGTGTTGACATGTGATGAAATAAAATCCAGCAGGCTTATATTGAAAGAAAAGGAAATAATACCTTATTGTGACGTCTGTCTCTAGGCCTTCTCCTCCAGCTTCTACTGCCTTTTCAAAAGACATTAAAGTATTTTCTGGAGCGAGCTTCAAAAACACAAAACAAACACAAAGTCACTAAAATGACCAGACGGAGAGTAGATACATCTGCATCTGTTGGATAATTAGTTACAGAAAATAACTGCACCCTGATACAAATAAAGATTTATACATTGACACTGGTTTGGTGAAGAACAGAGGTGCAGAACCTGCTTTTAAAATTTAACCGGAAGTTTCAGGAGGACATAAAACGAATCTTTCCTAAAAACAAGTTTTGGTTTATTCTCGTTTGATTCCCTCTTTGGATCTTTACAAGAAAGAATAAAATCCACCCATGTTATGTATCCCTTATTGGATCAGAAATAAATTGGGAATTATACTGAAACTCAACACTAAATAGGTTTAGGGAACAGTGTGTAGTGTAAAAAAAAAATTAACTGATTCTTTCGACCATCTTGTCCAAACCTAGCTTCATTCATGTATCTGCAGTGCATTAAATATCGTCAGCAGATAATGGGTTATTTCTCTGAATCACATCTTCCACATCAGACTGTCTGATGATCTTACTCCTCTATCCGCTAGAGACAGTGTTTGTGCTGAAAGCGCCGCCTTACCATTGGAGCTCCTCTGTGACCGATGAGCGTAGGGGCTGGTCCCAGTGTTCCTGCGTCTTTAATGCAGGGCGAGTACATCCCCAGGGGAACCAGGTAGAGAGAGAACAACACGGACAGGTAGAGGGCCAGGACCACAACCTGTCGAACTAAATAACACAACAGAGGAAACTAGTTAAGGCTGAAACAATTGGTCAGGTTGATGGATTATTAAAGTAATCAATTTATTTTACAACTGATTATTGTCAACTATGGAGGATAAAAAGTGCCAAAATTAAATGAATAAATACAGCATTAAATAAATAATTAAATGTTTCAATAATTAATTAAATGTGGAATTAAATAAATAAATGTGTCATTCAGTAATTAAAACCACGTCACTAATATAAAGTGCCACAATTAAATAAATAAATACAGCGATAAACAATTAATTAAATGTGTAATTCATTAAATAAATGAGGAATTAAATATATAAATGTGTCATTAATAAAATACGTCTTCATTTTATTAAAAAAATATATATATATTAATTTCAGTGTGCATTTAATTATTTCATGGTCCTGTGTCGCAGTGCATCAAAACCATTAAAATAATTTGTCAAACTCACCCATCAAAGTTAGGGGGCAGGGTTAACGCGAATCGAGTTGCCACCTACTGTATGAGAGTATGTTCACAACCTGTGGATCACAGTCTCTGTAATTGATTTGCTTCGCCTTAATATGCAGGGTGACCAATCAGGTGTTAGATAACCGCCCCCTAACTTTGATGGGTGAGTTTGACAGATTCTTTTAATGGTTTATTTATTTATTTAATTTTGGCACTTTTTATCCTCCATAGTCAACCAGAGTATAAAGACTGTAAAACATGTCATTAGCTTAAAGAATAAACCACTGAGAGGGGCAATTGCTCTTCTTGATGCTTCATGTTCTCCAACAGAAACTCTTTAAAGACAGCAGATATTAAGCTGAGACTAAAGTACACACAGCTCCGCTCCATTTACCAATTTGTTTCTCATACTTTGCACCATCAGTATTTAGCCCCATAAACAGCTCAGATGTATAACCAATTCATTAGGAAACCAATCAATATGAGCCTCACATCGCCTCCCTGTAATTAAATGGGTTTTACTTCTCCATTGAGTTAACCTGGAGCAAGCTAGAACATTTCCCTCCGGGGCTAATCCTTTGCTGCTTCCTCTCGCAGGAGACCCCTCGTGTGACTCAGCATCCAAGGAGCTGCTGAGTCACCATGGCAACAAGGGACAGTACCCATGGAGACCAGATGAGGAAGGCAGAGACCTGGAGGTCAAAGCCATTCAGAGTCTGACATAATGCAGGACGGAAAGAAACTAAAGCATCTATAAGGTCGGAGCTGAGAGGAGACTGGATCAAAAGATAAACAAATCAAAGGCGATGGGAAGGGAAAGGAAGGGTGAACTCTGGGAGGCAATAGAAAGTGGAGATGCTTTCTGCTCAGAGGAAGTGGACAGACATGAGGAGAGCTTCAGTGGCATGTAGAGACTCTGCCAGACAATTTAATTACATTTTCTAAACAGCTGGTTCTCTACTGAAAAAAGGTACTAAAAAAACCCTCACAGTCCTTCTACTTTCCTAATTTACTAGTTCAATTCACTTCTGTCTGGTTTACTTTCAATTATTCCCAGCTACCGATTATATAATTATTGGAGTCATTTGATAGGTCTACCACTCCTGAGAAGGTTCACCTCTATTCAGTCTGTTCTCTGTTGATAATGCTCACTGTCTTCCAACAGATCCTCAAATCTTAGAAATGACTCTTTGCAGAATGAAGATTAAGTTTTCTTTTTAGGGCTCTACATTTCAAAATTGAAACAACTCCCATCTCAATCGATCTATTTTCTTTAAACCTGAGGAAATAAAAACAGTCGTTTTGTTCACCTCTCTTGCTCATGCGGAAAAAGTGCAAAGCAGTCGGCCAGGAGAGAACCGCCATCAGAGAAACTGCAGCCACATGGAGGAAAGGAGCCGTCACCTGAAAAAATAAACAACCATGAATTGGGCAAATCAACAATATTTAGATATTTTCAATTAAGAATTTTTCATAATTCAGAAATTAAGAAACATTCTACAAAAAAGGGAAGCGAATTAGTAGGAAAGTATATAGACAGCTCCCCCCCCGGATTTTGGCCAAAATTGTATAAATCATTAGAGAATATGAAGAGCAAAAATACTTTTACATAAAACAGAAATAGGAAACAGAACTACAGATTCAGTCATCAGAGGATGATTGATTGGCCCTCTATATGTCTGCTGAAACATACTTTAACAAGCTCAAGGCAGTGGAGAGAATTTGACTGAAAAACATGGTGAGGGATTTTATTACTCCAAACAACAGCAGTAAATAAAAAAATAAAAAAAATGCTGAAAACGCTGTGGTGATTGGAGTGCTGATCATTTGCATATATTTTGGAAAAGTACTTTTTGGGAAAATATATCAATGATGGGAGAAATACTGGGCCGTAAAATAGCTGTTGATTCATGAGTCGTGTGTTTGGGCCTGGTGCACGAGGGAGTTATTACAACAGAAGATCTCTATTTGTTTATAATGATGCTGATGGCCTGTGAAAAAGTTAACACACTAAAACATGGAATTGTATCGGTGGATATACAGCATATGAGAAAATGTATTTGATGGAAAAATGACTCACTGTCTGAAGTTGGAAGAGGATAAATTTGGGAAAATTTGAGGTCAAAATTGGCCTCATGTCCATTATATAACTTCTGTTTATTTCTAAAAATGTTTTGTTTTTTTTGTTTTATTGAAGAACTCCACAGAATGTGTTCTGTCGATTTTTCTCTCTCAAATTAGTGCAAAAACCACAATAAAGAGTAACACAAAAACAATTGTGGAGTGAATGCTCGAGAACAACTACGTCTTTTCGAGCAGGAGTAAAGCTGATCTATTTTTGCAGTGGTTTATGGGTGTTTGGTGCTGCTAACCTGCAGGGACAGTTGGAGTGTTTTCCATTCTTTGCTCCAGAGGTCCGACAGGATGCCAGTGGCGGTGACAGAAAACACCAGTGTTACCATGATGCCAGTCTAACATCAACGTAAATAGGACAGAACAACACGTCATCACGTCTCTTTTTCTGTAGGTCATCTTGATATATATATATGTGAATTTGGAGCTGCCCTTTTGCTGATTTCCTACCTTGTGGCTCCAGTGAAGATAGAGCCTCTGACCTTCAGACAGCAGACACACCGCCAACACCTGAGCAGTGTTGAAATAAACTGTTATAGCACAGACTCAACAGAAAGTCCATTTGTTATGCCTCCATCGCATGAAGGTTTTAAACATTACAAAGTTGTAATATCGAACCTTACTGCCAACAGATGAATGGTGAGCGTTAAGAACTAGTGCTTAACAGTGAAGCAGCAGTTAAGTAGGTAAGGAAGGAAGGAAGGAAGGAAGGAAGGAAGGAAGGAAGGAAGGAAGGAAGGAAGGAAGGAAGGAAGGAAGGAAGGAAGGAAGGAAGGAAGGAAGGAAGGAAGGAAGGAAGGAAGGAAGGAAGGAAGGAAGGAAGGAAGGAAGAGTTGGTATAATTAATGAGCAGATTATGGTCATATGTCTGTCATAAAAAAACATAAACTGTTTTGAGCATTTAACTGTACTAACAGATACTGACTGCTCAAATCTCAAGTCTTTGTCAGGTTACTATTCCCATAACAGACAAACAAAAAGGATTTTTCCACCTTTTTAACCTTCAACTTCCCTAAACTGGTGACCATTAAAACTGAGCTGTTTCTATCAAACGGGCAAAACTTCTCTTCAGTGAACTTTCTGAATCAAATGTCAAGCCGTGATCAACTCTGTACTTATACAATAGGTCTTACATAATATTTGGCACCAAGCAGAGCATCGAATGTACACCCATAGTTGGAACACAATTTACATATTACAGAGTGTTTGAATCCACTTTTAAAGCAAATAAACAGGGCATGTAATCAGTGTTCGTACCAGTAACAGGGCAATGTATGTGAAGAGCGCCGCAGCAACAACCAGCAGGACCAGGGACCAGGGGAACCAGAAGCCAAGGTTCCCGAAATTAAACCTGAAGGTGTACAAAAAGGAACAAGAAGAAAAATAAGTCACAGTTTTCCAGGACATCCATTCAGCTTCATACATCTACAGTATGATCATATTAGGCCAGAGAAGCTCAAGAGAAAGATATGGAGGCTTTCAGTGAGCACAGACACAGAAAAACAACAAGGATGTAGCAAAGGTTTGAAAAAAAAGTTATTAATGATACAAAAGTTTAATATTTCTCACACTTATTTCAGAAATTTAAAACCAAAATTTCTTTGTCCTTGAAATGGTTGAAAACTGTTGCAATTTTAAAACACATTGATGGAAAATTGAGTGGAAGAAAAGACAATCCAGCAACAGGAGTAACTGGTCCCTCTGACTCAAAACTAAACTTTTTGTTATCATTTAAGACATAAACCTGAATTTACAGAACTGCTACAGGCTCAATTAGAATATTTTATTGATCAAATGTAATAATGACCCATTTAGGAAAATAGAGAGGAATTTATACTAACAAATGCTAAAAGACTGATCTAAAACATGTTCATATTAAAATTTCTATTTTTGTCTTTGTAATTAATTAATAATCTGATTATCCCTTCCTTTATGCTGTCCATCATATTAGGTATCTACCAAATATTGCCCTAAATTTGGTCTCACTTTGAGCAGCAAAATCTTCTTGTATTTCTATAAACTAATTTAAGATTCTAAGCAAAACTTTAAATCTTCAAAAGATTAAAGGTATGAAGGAGAAAAACTGTAGTTAACGAATACATTTCTAAACGACTAGAACAGAAAGAGCCTTTATTTTCATAATCAGCCAGAAGTGTCCTTGTATAAAAGCAAGACATTTTTTTGTTAACGAAATGATTGAAAGTTGGAGGTGATTTTATTGTCATTATTATGAAGCCACAACAAAAACCAACTGATTGTTACGAAACATTTTACATCCTACAACAATGCATCAAATTCAGTGTCTCATAGTCAAATTCAACCTTTAACAGTTAAAGTTATTTTCAAGTTTCATTACATGAGATGAAAAACTGTTACCAGGACTGGAGTCTCAGGAATACAAATCAAGTATCAAGGTTTCGGGGGAAAAAGACAAAATTGCATAAAAAACAAAACAAAAAATGTTTTTGTGTAAATTTGTTTGGTTTTTATGCTGTGTGAGACTTACCAGTCAAAGTCATTGTAGTCATTCTGAGCTTCGCTCCAGAAATAAAGGAAAACAAAGCTCAGGAAGAAGGTGAGGATCAGGAGCCCAAAGCTGCCACACTCCACCTGAAACCAACAGGGAATTTATTCATGTATTCTATGCTTTTATATAAAAAAAAGTAGATTAAATCATGTACTGTTTACACACCGAAAGATGCCTTTAGGATTAAAGTGAAACTTAAATGTTTCTCTGTCAGATTCAGGGTAAATACAACGGATTGCACAGCTGACAAAATATGTGCTAATAATCTGGTGATAGAAAACGCTGTGACCAACTCAAAGTCAGCAGGCAGGACTGAGAAAACTGACTGCAGAATCGATAGTCGGTGCACAATCAGCAAACCAACACCTATTGGTGTGTATAGCTGAGTGGGTGGATGTTTACCTTGCTGCAGCAGCACTCTCCTGGCTGCGCCCGCGCTCTTTGGTATCTCCTCCACTGGCAGCCATACAGTCCAGCCAGGCAGGAGACAAAGGGCTGGTGTTCATACCTGGAACAATTCAAACCAGCCAAACATCAACTTGGAAGATGATGGAAAATAAAAAACAATACTGAAAGTGGATTAAAATAACAGGACTAAAACAAAAGAAAACTATTAGAAAAACCAGCATGTGGTATAAATGAGTTCAAATAACATGACTAGACTTTTTTTTCTTCCAAAGAAATCTATGCTTGAAATTAGTGCTGAATAATATATGATATATAACAAATTTATCTTAATCACATTTGAAACATGTAACAAACATTAGCTAACTAATGAAGTATTCAACTTTCCAACTTATAGGCTAAACAGCTTTAGTAAAGATGTAGTTAGATTATTTTATAAATAAACTATAAGAGTTTTTTTATTGCCTTAACAGCAGACATCAACCACTTTTTCAATTAAACCTTTTTGAGATACTAAGAAATATATAACTTTTGTATTTATGTTTGTTATGATCCAAAGCAGAAAGACATCATCCTACTCCAGATGTCCAACTGACATTATAATGTTTACCATTATTATTGAAGGTTTTTCTAGTAAGACGCAGCACTACTTGAAACATTACAGTATTTCTATAAGAGAAAAATAGATGTCAATTAGTTTAATATATGACTCTTTATTTCCTTGTTGGTCCTGCAGAAATGTACTCCGAGGTAAGATACTTTTCAGACAGAGGGGTCTTAAAAGAGCAGAACTTTTAACGTTCATTAGAATATATACCACTAAGGGCTGCATGGTGATGCGTTATGTAGCACTGCAGAGAAAATGCTCTTGGGTTCAAAATCTGGCCTAGAGACTGTCTGTATGGAGGTTGCATTAAGTTTAAAAATATGAATGTTAGGTCAGTAGTCTAAATACCCCTTATTTATGAGTGTTTTAGTGCAGTTTCCTTTCCTGTGTTGCCCTGTGATGGACCAGAGATGTGTCCAATGTTTACCCTGCTTTTAAATGCTGTTTTAAATATTGGTCTTTAATATTATTTCATAAATAATTAGAAGTAAACCTATTATAAGATATAGTATTTAAATATGAATGACTGATTAACAAAATAAAAACAAAGACAAAAAATAAACAACATGGCTTCTCCACGTATTACCTACTTATACCCACAGTTTAAGTAAATATTTAAAATGATTCCTGTGTCTAATCCTGCAAAAACAAGCAAAAGAACAGCTAGACAGTCACACAGAGAAACTGCAATCTCCTGTTATTGGATCCAATGGTTTGCTTCAGGGCAAGAAAATCTTATCTATAAATATGGAAGAGGGAAACTAAAGATTAAACATTAAGCACTAAATTGTTTAAATGAATGTGACCAAAAATGGATTCAACATCTAATATGAAAGCATTCAGTGCTGGTGGTTTGATGTGGAATTATTCACTATTTATGAGTAACAAACACCCCAGAGTGTTTCATTATAACAAGATATTACACTTTATTGGACAATGATGCATGTTTCAAAAAGGTAGGTAAATATAATGAAGTTATGTTTGTGCAGAGAGGCGCAGTGTGACTCATTCTCCTGGTGAGACCATGTGTGGGCTGCAGGGGACTCACTGTTCTCCATCAAAATATCTTTTCTAGATTTAACTGATTTGTTATTCCATGTCAGGATGTGTGAAACATTTTACAGATTTACAGTGATAAAAGTGCATTTAAAAAAAATAACCTCTAAGCAGGTGGGAAATATTTTAAATTAATTACGACCACATTTAAGTTGCTTAAAATGTTTATTTTAAACAACATAAACTTAAACATCGTGGTGAACTGGTTTGAAAACATCAATCTGTGTGTAATTTATATATTTAATATGCTCCACTATATGAACCGAGTTTATCAATAAAATGTGCTTTTCAAGAAGAACCGCATTTATTGAACACGTCTGTAGTCACCTTGATGATAAGATGTTAAATTCTGTTCCTATTAACATTAGAAGAACAAATGACTTATCTGATTTTAGCGATAACCTCAATGATAACAGGGTTTAGAGCAAACAAACCAACTAAGAGCCGCTGGTTGCAGATCTGTTATAGCATTTTTGATTATTTATCTTTTCACTGAGCTCCAAATCTTCGAGGGTGGAAGCACTCCTTGCCATCACCTTAATCTTCCCTTCACAGTCTGGCTAATCCTCTCTGTAAACTCTGAAACTAAATCTGACATATTAACCATTAACCAGTCATATATAGAAAGCCTAAATCTGTTACATAAAATCAAAAATATCCAGAAGCCTTTATGCAGTCCAGATATGGGGTAACAACTACAAACCCTGTTTTTCTATTGCAAAATGGGCGGTACAGATCATTCACAAAGATGGCTTTTTAGAACAAACCAAAGATCTTTTCATTCACTCCAAATTCTTTCAATTTCATTAGCTTGCAAAATATTATACTGTAATTATGCTATTTAAAGTATTTAATAATCAATAGACAGATCAGTGCGGCGGTGGCAGTGATCGGTCGCTGTATAAGACTGTCGTGGCGAAGAGGGAGATTTACCCAACGATCTACGTTCTTACCCTCACCTATGGGCATGAGATCTGTGTAGGACAAGCTACACAAGCTTGTGAATATAAGCGGCCAAAATGAGTTTCCTTGGCAGGGTGGCTGGGCGCACCCTTCAAATTCAGGTAAAGAGCTCAATAACACAGGAGGAGCTCGGAGGTTGCTCCTCCACTTTAAAAGGATCCAGATGAGGTGACTCGAGTATCTATTTCAGAGGCCTACTGGTCGCCTCCCTTGGGGGGTTTTCAAGGCATGTCCTCTTGGGAGGAGGCCTCAGAAGGGCACACTGGAGGGACTATGTCTCTGAGAAGGCCTGGTGTCGCCTCGGAGTCCCCCCAGAGCAGCTGGAGGAAGTGTTTGTAGATTGGGAGGTCAGCGCATCTCTGCTTAGACTGCTGCCTCCGGCCCCGGATAAAGCGGAAGAAAATGGATGGATGGATGGTAAGTATTAAATAATCTGCCACAAAAAAAGGAGTAATAATTCTTTACTCTTAAGAGAACGTTAATAATATGAGAGGTTAGGAACATTTTATAATAGCTAATGTTCAAACCAACCCTAAAAGTTTTTGTCTGACAGTATGTGAGGTCAAAATGTTGAATACTTTGAATTCATAAATTGAAGTTCCTTTATAAAGACAAGGTTTTGTCATAAATCAGTAAGAGTTTAGTTTATATGCATTGTTCTGTTTTCTGTATCAATCTTGTGCAGCATAGCTGATGACTGTCCTTACCATCCTTGTTCAAACCTTTACAAAAAAGTTTTTTTTATAGCAGCATAAACTGTTACTCACCCTATTGTCAGTCATTTATATTTGAACATGAATAAAGTTGTCCTTGTCAAGTTTTTGTTCTTTTTTATTATTATTAAACTGATAATGACTATATCTGATTATATCTTGCTCAAATCACATCATAAAAAGATGCAGATACTTTCGTCTTGTAGATAAGACGATGTAAAGAACCACACCAAACAACCGAGGAAATAAATATTAGGAAGTAAATATTAGCAAGATGCTGACAATAAGATATGACCAGCTAAATTTTCTGATGTCAACAAATGGACGTTATGGCCGATTTTCTCATCATGGATTATTTTTATTACTAATATGTTGAATTACTTTTAATCTGTGGACCCTTATGGACAAATGGAGTATAAAACAATTGAAGATTGGATTTATAAAACGGCTTCTGGATGCCTTCAAAGGTATGTAGTTGTGGCTGCTTTGTTTGTTTACATTTTGACATGCTGCTATATCTGTTTTAATTGTGCTTTGGTGCTCGTTGTGTCCATAAATTAAATGGGTGGTTAAATTGTACAGAATCTAAGCTTTCCAATGTTGTCTAACGTGTCTATATTGGTAAAACTTTTACCAGTGGTATTTTATGCATTTACCCCACTTAACATAAATCAAAATAAGGCGGAAACACGGTTAGGCTGGAGCTCATGCCAGCTATCGCAGTAACAGTCTGAACAAAGCGCACCAAATGGCGAATTACTGTAGTTTTGCCCCCACAGGATGTTATGTTTTCAATAGAATACGTCTGACCATTTTCTTGTTTATTTCACAGGATATGTAATTGGAGGCATCTCTAAAATTAATTAATTAAGTGTTGCTGCAGCATTTGAATCAACCTGATTACTGACTCTTTCCAGGAAGAGTAACTTTGTCAGACATCGTCTCTCTGTAGGCTGCCCAGTATCTTTCCATTCTAACCACTTTCCTCCAGCCCCAGCAAACCTTAGGTCATCCATCCTTCTAATGTACATCAATGAGGATTATCATTCTTATCTGTATGTTGAAAATCCCACTAATGTGTCACAAAAGTCACCTCAACTTAAAGACATCAGCATTAATAAGTGGGAACAGAGTCAGTTTGAAATGAGGTGTATAAACAGAGTGTTGGTCATATGCTGTTCTGTACCTTTGCAGCAGCTGCCGCCGCACCACCTTTAGTTTCCCCAGCTTCAGTCTGGTTGCGGGCATAGACTCACCCACAGCCCGGCATCACAGACAGAGAGGGGATTAGGGCTCAATGGGAGACAAAGGCAGGACTCTTCAACAGGCTGTCTTCACCTACAGAGGGGGAAGTTAACATTAGGTTGACGTAGACAATCACACACAAAACATATACATTCGATCCTCTTGAAATAAACATATCTCAAGAACAGTGGTGGCAGTGTTTTGATTTAGACCTGTAGCAACAGGACTTGAGCACTCTAGACTCATGAGTGAGTTAAGATCTCGAATGGGCTGGTGACTTAAGCAGCTTGATGAGCCCCAACATTCGACTCAATAAGGAACTAAAAAAATAAATAGCTACCATCAGTAAACCCAACATACCTAAAGTCACTATTTTCCCACAAACTGGGTGATCAATGACCCCTCACACCCCCACCATGGACTGTTCTCGCTGCTGCCCTCTGGGAAGAGGTTTTGCAGCATTGGATGCAGGTCCAACAGATTCTCCAACATCCCCACCGCTATAAGATAGCTGAACTCTTGAAAAAACTTTTAAATCATGTCACAGACTCTGCACCAAACCAAAAATACTGCATATTTGCACCATATACAGTATATCAATGCTCCGAACTTTCATATCAATGCATTTTTTCCACCATGTTTTTTTCTCCCACAGTGTTTACAATTGATCACTGCTGCACTAAATGGAATGGAAATATTCATTTACTGTCTGAAAAGTTGTACTAAATAAAATTTTGTTTTTATACACTCTGTGTAAACAAAATTACAATAAAAATGGTCTAAGTCTAAGCTTCTAATATTTTCCTGCTGCTGCCAGCATCCTCACTAAAACTAAGAAAGTGGAGCACATCACCCCAATTCTATAGTCCTGCATTTCAGACAATTAACTGTAAAATGACAATTTTCATGTAATATGTGCAGAGATTATAGCAGAATAGCACTGATGATGCAAATAATATTCTTTGATCAATCAGTTTTCTTGTCATCAGGTCTTAAACTTAAAAGTAAACTGGCTGCGGTTTTTCTTGATTTCTCCTTTTATCCTTTTTTTAAGAACCTTTGCGAGTTATTCAGAGACATACCGTCTGCTCAAATCCAGCTGAATAATGTCAAATTGATTTGGGGATTTATCATACTGATGACCTAAAATGTTCAGCTCAGCAACCCAGGAGCACGGACATGAAATATTCTTGAACAGTAAAGTCGGTTGTCTGATTTAAGTCAAATTAAGCTTCAATTTTACTTTTTATCAACTCAACTTCAGGCAGAAAGGCACAAACAGCGACTGAAAACCACTGCAAAAAAGGCTTTGCAGAGTAATAAGGAGAACTTCAAGTCTTTAGGCTGTCATTGCCTGCAGAATGTTTTCAACCATGTAATTGATATAACCAATTCAATTTTTAATTCTGACTAGAGGATATTTAAGAGAAACTTAAATGTTTTCTATACAAAACAGTGAATTACTAAATTTAACTAAAGTTATAAATATTTATTCCATGTGACAAAACAAACCTGCCTTCTTTCTTCCTTCTTTCCAAAATACTCCAATATTTATTTTTTTTACTATCTCAAAAATCATGTAATATCTCATAAAATCAACCCTATTCAACCATCTGAGGACTATAACTGTGCTGGCCATTGTTTCCTCTTTATAAAGCTGGCAACCAGGAGGTCCAAGTTGCTTCCAACAGCCAAGTTTTCAAATCGCTGCCATGGCAACGGTGACATCAGCTCTGCTATTATCTCTGGTGTGCGAAGGATGAAGGACGGTGGGGGTAAATAAGAGAGAAGCAGATGGATTGACAATAGGCCAGGCTGAATATATGACAGAGAGACAAAGAAACTAGAATGAGCCATCAAAGAACCTTGGATGGTTGGAGGAGGACATTTCTGTGAAGGTTGAGAAGAAAACACCCAAAAACTCTGCTCCATATGCTTGGCAGACAGTAAAAATATACTCAGCTTATCATCATTAGTCTTAAGTATTCAAATAAGCCTATCAAAATACTAAAAGAAAGATACTGAGAAAGAAGGAGGAGGAAAAAGATAAATAAGGATTAGCCTTAATAATGTGTGTGACATTTTAGGAGCAATAAAATGAATAAAAAAAGGTGACACAAAACTTGTGAAACCAATATATTAATTCCCCTTGTGAAAACAGCTTGTTTTGGTCAATAATGCCCCAGATCTATGTAACCAATGACAAGAAAACGTTTATCTCTATAAATCTGCACCATGTGGTGTAGGACCTTTCCAAACCTCTGAACATTTACCCTTCTGCTCATTTCTTGTCTGATTACCCCAAACAAATGGCACTAGTGTCACAGAGGTCTTTAAATAGATTAACAATTCCATTAGCACAAATCAAGTCAACCAAATCTCCCAATCCAATGTATAGCAAAATTCAATGATTAAACCAAGGGTGTAACTTTGTAATGAAAGTTGGAGGTGACACTATAAGGCAAAGGTCACGGATTAGCAGACCGCGGTCCGGACCCACCTGCTGGCTAATCCGGACCCAACCTAATTTAAAACAATTATAAATTACTGCATGTTGTCTGAGGACAGTGTCTAAAAGTTACTTGCGTTGCTTCTCCTGTTACCCCGAAATCCCATATCCTCCGCTCCACCCCGCAGCGCTCCAGACCTCCTGCAAAGCCTACAGCCTCCGCTGTTCCTCCTGTCTTGGAGGAACATTTGTGCTAATGGAATTTAACAATTCCATTAGCACAAATCAAGTCAACCAAATCTCCCAATCCAATGTATAGCAAAATTCAATGATTAAACCAAGGGTGTAACTTTGTAATGAAAGTTGGAGGTGACACTATAAGGCAAAGGTCACGGATTAGCGGACCGCGGTCCGGACCCACCTGCTGGCTAATCCGGACCCAACCTAATTTAAAACAATTATAAATTACTGCATGTTGTCTGAGGACAGTGTCTAAAAGTTACTTGCGTTGCTTCTCCTGTTACCCCGAAATCCCACATCCTCCGCTCCACCCCGCAGCGCTCCAGACCTCCTGCAAAGCCTACAGCCTCCGCTGTTCCTCCTGTCTTGCTCGCTCAGACTTAACGCTTAATTTAATATGACATTTTAAAAAAATCCCCATCAGCATCCAGCATATGTGCGGTTTCTGATGGAGACGAGAACTCTGCTTCCTGGTCTGTTGAAGGACCAATAGTTTGCTTCCAATCTTTGAAAAAAAAAAAACAGTGTTAGTTTTTTTAAATATATAAATATTTTGCTTTAATTTGTAGTTACTGATCTGTTGTTACTATGTTTTAATTTGACAAACCGAATCTTCTCGCTGTTCTTTTTTCTGTTTGGCGCAATTGCAATACCAGATCATTTAACATGATCAAAAATAAATATGGATCCAGGCTCAAAATGAGCACCTTGATATGTGCTTGAGAATGCAGAACACACATACACACACATATATATACACACACATATATACACACACACACACACACACACATATATATATATATATATACACACATATATACACACACACACACACACATATATACACACCCACACACACATATATATATATGTGTGTGTGGGTGTGTATATATGTGTGTGTGGGTGTGTATATATGTGTGTGTCTTTACCCTGCTTTTTATGTATTTTTAGGTTATTATTATATTTTTATTTATTTTTATTTTTTATTTCTAAAGCCCACCATCTATAAATAATACCTTCTTTCTTCCTTCTTTCCAAAATACTATTTTGTCACCATAATTAAAGCCATAATTATTTAGTCAAATATTGTTTCTCTAAGTGTTGTGTGTTTGCTGCCTATGTTCACATTAGTGAAGCATGTTTGGATGTTCAAGTTGGTATTAATGTGGTTTGGATAATCCTTTTTATAAACCATGGGCCTGGACCTAAAATGGGTCAGGTACACAACAGGTGGGGATGTGAAAGGAGCAGTGACATACTTTAAAATCACTCTGTTCCTTACACTTAGGATGAGACGCCTGTGTGGGCACGCAAGAAAAGATACCTCACAGGACAAAAATATGGAAAACAAGGAGAGGACAGGAGAGAGGACCACTAAAAGACAGAGGCTGGGGAGGATATTAAGATTAAATAATTTATGTTGCTGCAGAGCTTCAGGAGTCTTTTCCAACCTTTGATGGAAGCTGGTTTCTGTCTTCCTGTCAGTTTTTACTACTCTATTTTATTACCTTTTTTTTTACATCTCTTCCTTTCTCTACATGATTTGATTAATAAACCAATAAATACAACACATATAATGTCTGTAAAGTTTTTAATCACACAAAAACTGATTTCTAAGCATTTGATCCATATTTTATGTGATAAGAACAGCACATAGTAGTGTATACTTTTAAGGGAAACGAAATAAGATATAGTTTAAAATAAGAACAAAGAAGCTTAATAAGTTAAAAATCTTCTGAAAGCAGTTTTCAAGTCGAGGCAGTGTGTTGATCTTGGCACTGATGACTGGCTTAATGGTTCATTCCATTCACCTGCTTTGCTCCGCCCAGTTTCTCATCATTGTTTATCTTATCCACCTGCTCCTGCCTTTATTTAAGCTACTTACTCCCAATCCATGGTGAAAGATTAATCGAGCCTTCAGTGAGAGTTCTCTAGCGTTCTCTGTGTTTTGTTCTAATTGCCTGATCCTGACAAGTTCTGCCCTCGGACCTTTGAGCCTGCCTGTTGCTGTTTTGGATTTGTTTACCTGACCTGTCCTCGGACTCCTGTTGGTTTTTGTTTGTGCACTGAACCTAGATCTGTCTTCTGACCTCGACTTGGATTTCCCCTCAGCACCTCTTCGGATCTCTGATCTTCTGGTCTGGACTGCTGTTAACCTCTTCGAGACCAGGTTGGTCTTCTGGATTCTCCTGCCTTCCTTCGCCTGTTTGGGTCTGCCAGTCAGCCATTTCGGCAGTCCTCAGGCTCTGACATCCAGAACTCTCTGGGCGGTGTTCGCTGCCACCCAGCTTGGTTCTACCCCTTCTTCTGGACACAGACTGAACTCTAAAACCAGGTTAGTGACTCATACACTCGTAATCAATCACCCTGCATCAGATTTACGTGGTCGCTAACCCAAGTC